TACTTAGATTCTGTGCATGTCAGGCACTCATTCTTCAATAGAATACAGATTTTGATCAAATCAACTACCCCCTCTGCAAGCCCCATTTCTTCCTCCTTTCAATTTTATGGGTCCATATGCCTTCTCCTGTGTTAGGTATCCCCTTTATTTGTCCCTCACCTATTCCTGCTTTTCTTTTCTTTTCTTTTCTTTCTCCCAGCATGTCAGGTTCATATAAGGCTATTTCTGTACCACAGAGTACATGAAAGCTTTCTGGCATACTTTTCTAAAATCCATTTGAAACTCCATTGTATGATAAGAATATGAACATTTGCAATTATAAACATATTGCAGGTTTACAACAGGTATGCCAGGCTGATATCAAAATATAGAGCCATTATAGTAGGGTTCTTTATTTTATATAAATAATCCTCTAATATGAATGCACCCAAAAGCCAATTATGCTGTGTGTATGCTTAACATTTTGTGATTGTTCACCTCTCTACCTCTTACATCAAAGATATAGAAAGTATCAGGTCTATTGTAATCCAAGTCCTTACCCCATTAAAGTCATCGAGAGTTTTAACACTGACTTTGATGGAATCAGTATTAGATTTTATGTCTAATAAGGCTTATTCCTACAAGCATTTAAGCATGTGTATAACTTTACTCCTATGAGTAGCACCAGTGTTTACTGAGTTTACCCACAAGTGAATAAGAGTGCTTTCAGGAAAGGATTTTTGTATATTATCTTGCCTTAGTACTTTAAAAGGACATATGACATTAACATGCATAAGAAATAGCACAGTGTGTGTGCTCAGTAATAGATTGCAATCTCATGAAAAACAAAATTTCTAGCCCAGCCCTGCAGTCCTCACATTGGTAATTATCAGCTCATTAATACAATTTACAGATGTTCTATCTGTCACTGGCATAGCATAAGTTGTTGAAGATGATCCAGCTGTTCTTCTCTAGTCAGTTTCAAAATGATCTTGCCAGACATTTTCAGATTCAATCGACTTCTTTATTTTACATAGTGGTTCAAATTATTTTTATGATATAGAGACAAACATGTCCTCTGAAAGAATCATTAGAAAATTCTTTGTCATACAGTCATTCCACTATTGAGACTGGAAAATCAAATAAATTGCAGTTCTTCTAGTACTTTACAAAATGCAGTTGGTTACATCAGTACATTGGAGTAAAAATGTTTTACCTGATCTCTCTCCATACTTCATCTCTTCATTGAAAACATTTTTGGCTGGGATTTTTGCTTTTGTTTCTAATCTTTGATTTGACTTTGAAAATTTTCTGACTCAAATCAATGAACAGTTTTAGAACTTACCAGCAAAGTGTGTATAAATCTTCTTTTTCGTAATAACTCGCAAAGCTTGTTTGATTGCTTTTTTTCTCCATATGACTCCTTCTGGAAATGCTCAATGAAAATGCAGTTGAATTTTTTTCCTCTTTTCTTATTAGATTAACTGGGTTGCTGCTAGTATATATACAGCAGTGAAGACCTGTAGTTGTCTCTGGTGAGTTCACTAGTCTCCTATCATCTCTTTCCTTTGGCAGATTTACTCTGTAACTCTTCATTCTGCTACCGCAACTGAAAAAAATTATGCACAAACATCCCAGTGAGGAGATTATTTGATTTGATTCACAGTCATACTGGAAAATGGGAAGAAGAACATTGCCTCTACTTAAATATGTTAAATAGAAAGCCATGAAAGGTCTTTTACATTATAAGATTTATGGGATGGGGCTGTCATTTACTCTGCTGAGTAGGGCCGGTTGAAAATGTTCTGTCAAAACTGTTTTTAGTTGGAAAACTGGGTTTTTGGCTATGCCCCCCTCCCCCCGTTTTTTCTTTATTTTGCAATAAGTGTCTGTTTTCAATGGAAATTTACAATTTCTCATCAAAAAACTAAATGGCTATGCTTGTTTGGATGTTCTTTAATTTTCTTCTAGCATGGATATGTAGCAGAAAGGCTAAGATATGTTCTGCCCATTTTTGCTTGCGTTATCCGTTATATTCTCCAGAAGGTAACAAAACACCAGTCTATAACAGCTCATACTGTGACACAAAGGATCATACAAACAGTACACAGGTATTTACAGATAAAGATTCTATATCTTGCCAGAAGAAGGCATTGTATAAATCCAGAGGGATTTGTGAGTTGCAACATCTCTTAGCTATAATATATCAGAATAAGGAAGGCTAACGAATAGAATACTTGTGTGAACAAAAATCACTGGATCTGCAGACAGCACCAGTCACTGCTTAGACAGGCAGAGCAGGAGTTAGACACTAACAAAAGTCCAGATAGACTCACTGAAGGTGGAAAGGAATGAGGGAAATGTCTTAATATCACTTTTGGTCCATTAAGATCAACAAGGTCTATGTCTTGATGTATAGGCTGACATGTAATTGAAAAGCCATTTTCCATATCACTGAATACCATGGAAAATGGGGCAGATCTGCAGTGTTTATATGCAGGAAAGAATAACACAGCTGATTTAATTAAAAGTGCGTATTTTTCCCCCAACAGCAAAGATACTTCTATGCTACCATTCCACAAAAGCTATGTTCATCAGAAGCAGTGCATTGTTAAGATCTCCTGTGTCTCATATAGGACAAAGGCTGGCTGAGAAGAAACACTTCTACAGCCAAAAAAGAGTATGTTGCAATTTCTCCAATGTCAAAGTACTACCCTATCGAGAAGGTTCATAGCTAGAATTGAGGATTTGCAATCCAGAAGCAATGTTGTTATTGGAGTACATGCTATGTACTGACCGGGCCAACTAATGAGGAATTGTGCGGTATGTTGATGGCACACTGTGATCAATATTTAAAATAACGTAGGTACCTAAAGTTAGCTCCTGAATCCATATTTAGGCACCTAACAAGGTACTATGAGTATATGCAGGGTTTAAATATGGATTTTGGAACTGAACTTTAGGCCTCAGTGTGGCTACTGAATTAGTAAGAGGAAGCTATAAAACCATTTTGAAATAGAGAGTGAGTGTGTGTGTGTGTGTGTGTGTGTGTGTGTGTGTGTGTGTGTGTGTGTGTGTGTGTGTGTGTGTGTGTA